TCCACGAGGTCCTGGTCGACCATCAATTCCAGGCTCGCCCTATATCAATTCACTCAATTACGATATAAACTATGGTAGCACATTATCTCTTTGAATTACACGCAATATCATACGGTCATTTCAAATTTTAAATTTCATTGCCGGAGAAGGTTCTTTTCCATTCTCTTAATTACGAATGATTTCTGTGACGTAAATAGACGCGATGTCAAGAAGAATAAGAAGTTTTTTAAAATGTGAAAGGCCAACATACCACGGGTCCAGGTTCACCGGCAGGCCCATCGCTTCCCGGTGGACCAGTGGGTCCACGATTTCCACGAGCACCACGAGGACCAGTTTCGCCGCGTTGACCCTTTTGACCAATCAAGCCAGAGATACCAGGAGGACCCGGGGGACCGACAGGACCTTGAGGTCCTGGTAGGCCTGGACGTCCGTCGGCTCCGGATTCACCGCGGGGACCGATGGAACCTTGGTAGCCAGTTGGACCGATTTGACCAACGGGACCCATAGGACCCGCTGGGCCAGGAGGACCCATTGGACCAGGAGACCCCTAAGGTAAAAATAAAATAACATATTATTGAAGGTCTCGTTAGGATCTCTGGGTGTGAACACATGGAAAAGCGAAACTTACAACCATACCATCGAAACCAGAGTCACCCTTGTCACCAGGCGGGCCCTGATAGCCCTGTCGACCAGGAGGGCCAGTAGCACCGGGCTCACCAGGCATGCCGGGAAGACCCTGAGGACCTGGAGGACCAGGAACACCGGGTAGACCATCGCGACCGTTCCTTCCAGGAGGACCACGAGGACCTTGGGGACCCTGTCCACCAGGAGCACCATCGGTACCAGGCGGTCCCATTGGACCGGGAGGACCAGGAGGTCCAACCGCGCCTTCAGGACCCACTGGACCTGGATCACCACGAGGACCTTGAGGTCCCATTGCTTCCGTTGGGCTTGTGACTTGACCTAAATTAAAAAAGGAATTTAAAGGTCTCCCTTAATTAGTTGACAAGTAAACTGCGTGCTCATCACCAAAAGATAAAAACCAATGCTAGAAATCCCTTTCAAATTTGCTACCGCAGTTGCCAATGCTCCTGATATCAAACTGCAAGGCATTAGGGATAAACTTAATCTAGTCATTCACCTTCAAATACAAATTTTAGAGCATTTATGAAGCCTTTTTTGCATTTCAGATGGACAGATAAATGAACAAATGCGAGACTACAGGCTCCATGGTTCCATTGAATAACTCACCAATAACACCAAAGACGAAGGATGAGATCAAGAGGAAGCCAAGGATCCCATGTTTAAGAAGAACTTCCCAGTTCCCCATTCCACGGGAGGCGACCATAGTGAATACACCACCACAAGCTCACAAACACGCAAGTGGGGAGAGTTGCACTGCTTGTCGGCTCTGGCTTCCCTCTGGATGTGCTGCAGTTGGGCTGCAGTTTATTCTCACCACAGAGGACTGGACGGCTCTGTCAGTACCGTCTTAGACATCCCACCTACGTACGGATGGGGTGCACGCTTGCACGCACAAACACACACATACACTTGGGGTGCGGTCGATTGGCGGGGGTAACAGCAGTCTGTTCACTGCACGCGCAAACACATACGCACCTACGGCCAAGTCAACCTATTAATCTGACAAGTGATTGGTTGGATAGTTTCGTCGGTCCAACCATTCACGTGAATGTGAGTGCTAGTTAAGTAGGGCAGTAAGAACGACCTGGTTTTGTGTGATAGCCTGAAATAAGAAAAGTCATTGTAAATTCTCCGAATTGATGTCATCGGTGTGTATGATTGCAAAACATGCAGTTATGAGCAAATCGGTGCAATCACCTTTTCTAAAATCCATTTTATGCATTAAACGGAAAGGTCGTTGATTGGCTATTTTAAGACACGCTTGACCAATCAATTTTCTCCCTTCGTTCCTTAGGCCCTTCTCGATCCCAATTAATTTGAGGTGGCCTAATTCGTTGTTAGAAGAATTTATTTTTTCGAGTTTTCCAAGTCTCTTGACCACGTTGGCACTTACCAAAAGAAGTAGGTCATATTAGCGGCCTGATGATTTCGAAATCCGTTGGAAAATGTCACAAATGCAACTCCATCCCATAGCTCAACTTTTTCATACCTAAGCTTACCAACTTTAGCACGCATAGGTCATAACAGAACAATAAGTATGTAACCATTTCTAAGGTTAAGGGAGGCATTTAAAAGACCAACAGGGACTCCAGCCTCGCACACATATCTTCTTAATGATTTTGACGTGCCTCAGAACCCATTTGTTTTGTTGTCAATGCTGAATGGACAGCTTTAGCATTATCTCGTCAAATAAAGATCCTGATGAAAGAGGTATCGAAAACAATGTCGAATAACTGGCGATTCGGTTGGCTGTTTTACGATATACTTCGAAGGAAAGGCGGATTTGGAACTGCCAGACCCAAAACCTAGTTTCGAGAATTAGTACGACTCTACTATAAATTAGTAAGTAGCTAGACCAAACCAGGATTCGAATGCATATCCTCCACCAACAGGTAGTTTTGGTTATAATCACCAAAACGTTGAAGTCAATCTTCTTCGAGGTTGCCAACGCCAACCAGGCTACTGTGGCAACAAGACGAAGGCATAAAGAATGCATCCTATTACGACGGCAACAATGCGATCTTCCCTTCTCTCCACTCTACCCTAACTCATCCAGAAGGCTTGCACAACCATCTTATAAGTGCTTAAATTGCCCACAGAAGTGGAAGGCAGATACGGAATCGAATGTCGGACTCGACGAGTCTGATGAGGAGATATTCTTACCCAATATGAGAGCCAGATCTCCCCTACGTCTCCTCCGTGTTAACCCTCAAGTAATGCTAAATAAACTTCGACGAGGAAATATCTCTCCCGAAAGTCCTCGGAAGGAGATGTGTACGAACGGAAAGCTGTAGCTACACTTACCCAAAACATTAGAAAACCGTTCCTTCTTTGAACTCCTAGAATCGCCGCCAAGTAAAAGAACGCCAATGTCACGAATTTATTTCACTTGAAAGGTAACAATAGAAGGCGAGGAAATGAATAAAGTGGTAGAATACAAGGATGCATACCACACACTGCAACAATTCAAGCAACCGAATTCTATGCGTAATAGTTCAAATTTGTTTTCTTCTTCGACTGCACCTCAAGAATGGCATCCATGTAGTCCTCATGCACAACCTGATTGGCATTTCTGCGCAAAGCAATCATACCCTATACAGAATAAGAAAGTAAGAAAATTCAATATCGCTAAAACACAATCTGATGCAAAGCAAGCAATAAAACACTTTCACTGGGGAACGCAAGCACAACGCAATGAAGGTAAACTTAAACCTCTAAGGTGGACTCACAGCTTCGACACAGACAGCTTTGCACTGCGCCCCATTGAAGTCGTCTGTACACCGAGCAAGCTCTTCAAAGTTCACGTCTTCACTGAAGTTTAACAGACGTTAAACGCACTTAAGTATAATCCTTTTTAACCTTAAGGACTTGTTTGTTTCACTGATTTGAGCCATCGCCCTTTAACTCGGGTAAAAAACCCGCCATGAACATCTGTTAATATGGTGTTGCCAATGA